TTTTTTTTTTTTTTTTTTTTTTTGGCTCATTTCTCATTAATAAGAGATTAGGACTAGTGACTTTCATATATCCCAATTGCGCAAACCTATTGGCCATACTTTACATGTTATTCCCTTAACAACAACTTTATTTGACGACTTAGGATTCACGCTCCAACCAACATAGGGTTTAGGACTATGTTCAACTTCCAATGACCCATCGAAGAAAGAAGTTCTCATCATTGGGAGGACGCAGCAAATGATGATGCGATTTGGGAGGCAATTGATGTGATTTCTGTTCAATTTCTAGAGTCTTACCTTGAGGAAAATGTGGCTCTTTGGGTGCAGAGTAATGATAGATCCCAATCGTAAACATTGGTAGAAGAAGAAAAAGGTAAATGAGGGAGAGAAAATGAGCGGGAGGGATTTTTTCTGTTAATATGGGTCGTTAGTTTAGGATTTCATTTATGAAACCTGACCTATTCCTGGTAGGAACTAGACTCATTCTTAGTAATAGGGCATATATAGGTTCATAGGTGTCAATAGGTTGATTCAAGCATTATTTATTATGGTTAGGAATAAGGATTATTTATTATGGTTAGGAATAAGGATCATTTATTTGGTTAGGAACAAAAGAGGTCCTGAAATTTCCATAGAATTGTTTTTTCTACTTTCTTTTAATCAAGAAATTTCATTTTATCAAATTGATTTTATCACATCAGCCCATATGGATTGCTTTGTCCTCATTTACATTCTTTCCATTCTTAGAGCTCATCCAACATAAAATTATTCCAAGTCATCCAACATAAAATTATTCCAAGTCATCCAACATAAAATTATTCCAAGTCAAGCATACGTAGTTTAGAGTTGCTATGATTGGGTCTCCAAAAATGGGGGTATACCTTACTGGTATAGGTAGGAACTATAATTCTTTTAAGTCTTGTTTAGCTGTACTTGCATACCCTCAAAAGCCCTTTCATTTAGATGTGGTCTCAGTTCATTTATGTATTTCTCTTCTATGCGGGCGTCACTACTCAATCCATTGTCTTTGCTTTCTTGAAGTCAAAACCATGAAATGCACCAACATGAACTTTTGTTGGCTCCTTCCCTGTAAGCTTCAACAAAGACTTCTCTAATATTAGGTTATATTAAGTCGAGGTTTAGTTGTAAGGTTTTTTTCTCTTACCTCTTCTTGGTTTTGTTCAGACTTGTTAAGGAACTTGGAAATTATTTTCTTTTCATCGTTCTCCTTATAAAGTGGTGCATCTCCGTCCAATGGTGCCATACAAATCAAATTGTTTCAAATATTTAACTATTGAAGTACCAAGTGACAGGTTCATAGGACTCATTTCCTTGGACTATTTCCATTGGCTTCATGTTATGGATGGATTAATGAACTAACGACCATGATTTGGTCGCCCCGGTTCTACCTTAGAAAATATATTGCATCTTGCATAGAATTTCTTAATGAATTGAAGTTTGCAGATTCGTTGTCAATTTTGGTTGGTCTGAAGTTAATGTAGCCTGCTTTGATTCCCTGCTCCCTGTTTTTCTTTTAGACTCACAATTTTGGGAGCATGCATAGTTAAATATTCAAAACAACAATGATCATTTTGTCCTCTCGAGGGTCAAATGAAATTTTGCATAATGACCCTGAATTTAATTTGAAAAAGTCATAAACATTTCTCCCAGCACAAAAGATGATACTTGGTATGAGCACATTTTCAATGTTAATATTGTTCCTTATTTGCTTGTCATTTTCTGCTCTAACCTTTGGTGGTCGTGTCTTGCTACTAACATTTTCTTTTTGTTAAACTACTAACATTTTCTTATCATTAAATTTTACATGATTTATTTTGATTATTGGGTATTGTTTGTAATGTTATCATGTGTGATTGCTTAGGCCACGGCTACGAAGAAAATAATTGCTATATGCCAATCAGGTGGTGAGTTTGTGAAAAATAAAGATGGATACCTGTGTTACAACGGGGGTGAGGCCTATGCTATAGATATTGACCAACAAACAAATTTAGACGATTTCAGGACAGAAATCGCAGAAATGTTTAGTTGTAGTATTGATACAATGTCCATCAAGTATTTTCTTCCCGGTAACAAGAAAACTCTCATCTCGATATCCAAGGACAAGGATCTAAAGCGGATGATAAACTTTTTGAAGGATTCTATCACAGTCGATGTGTTTATCATGTCAGAAGAAGCTGTTGCTCGAAATTTATCCCATATGCCTGCTAGTAGGTAGTTAACCAATGAATCATGTTTATTTTCTATGCTTATTCTGTTCCATTCATTTTACTTTATTTTTAAAATCTTCTCATTTTCAGCTCAATTTAGTATTTACTTGCCTATAATATAAGTGTGGCATATCATGTTTTCTCTTATCAGTTTTCTAACTGATGGAGTTCCTCCTTTCTTTTTTTTTTTCCTTCCATTTGTGGATGCTTCATTCTCCTATTCCTTTCATTGTTTCTTTTTTACTTAAAATGTTGGCTTAAAAAACAAAGTTGGATTTCAAATGTTCACCGAAGGGAATGGAAGTCGTTGTTCCTTTGTCGAGCATATTCTAATCAAATTAGAGTGGTATAGAATTTGGCAATTATGAATATAACTTTTGAAAAAAATACTGTACGTAGTAAGATTTGGAAATAGCCATCAAAGGTTGTTCTCTTTATTTTCATATTCATATGGATATAATTAGCTATTTGTGATTTTAAAGTTAATTACTAAAATATGTTTGGTTTTGAGTGTATCCTGTAATTCCCTTTGTTTGGGTTGGTATGTTTTTCTTGTCTAGAGTTTTTCTCGTAACTTTCACGTAATCTTTTATTTTATCAGTTAAAAAGTATTTTTCATCGTAAAAGAAAAAAAAAATATACAAAAAATATATAATTGTAAAATATTTTAAATTTATTTATTAGTCTTTTAGATTTATTAAGAACCCTAAATCTATAAACATGTGCATTTTAATATCTTATGCATTGTGCTTTTCGTTCACCAAAGCATTTAACATAGTGATCCATTATGACCTTTTTCCTTTTGTGACGCTACCTTCAATTATGCAGGTCAAGTAGAACAACAGTTTCTGAGGCAGTAGTTCCTGTAGTTGAGCCTGTAGATGTTGCAGTTGAGAATATCATCGCCATGGATCAGATAGGTATGGACTTATCTAATGAAATCCCTTTAATTTGTGTTCCCGGGGTGTCGAGTGATGAAAAATATCGAAAAGCTGCACAACAATGGGAAAATGCCATTATTGGTGTAGACCAAAGGTTTAACAGCTTTAACGAATTCCGGGAAGCCTTACATAAGTACTCAATCGCGCATGGTTTTGCTTACCGGTACAAGAAAAATGATAGCCATCGTGTCACTGTTAAATGCAAATACCAAGGTTGTCCATGGCGAATATATGCTTCAAGGCTGTCTACTACCCAACTGATTTGTATTAAGAAAATGAACACCAATCATTCATGCGAAGGGGCTGCTGCTAAAGCTGGGTATCGGGCTACTAGGGGATGGGTGGGAAATATCATAAAGGAAAAACTTAAGGTCTCCCCAAACTACAAACCAAAAGATATTGCAGATGACATAAAACGAGATTATGGAATTCAATTGAACTATTCACAGGCATGGCGTGCAAAAGAGATAGCAAGGGAGCAGCTACAAGGCTCCTACAAGGAAGCATATAATCAGTTGCCATACTTTTGTGAGAACATCAAAGAAACTAACCCTGGAAGTGTTGCTTCGTTCACGACTAAAGAGGATTCGAGCTTTCATCGCCTATTTGTATCATTTCATGCATCAATTGCTGGTTTCCAGCATTGTCGACCTCTCCTTTTCCTCGACAGCACTCCATTGAACTCAAAGTATCAGGGGGTATTTTTGACTGCCACAGCTGTGGATGGGGAAGATGGCATATTTCCAGCAGCTTTTGCAGTTGTAGATGCCGAGACGGAGGAAAATTGGCACTGGTTTTTACTGGAATTGAAATCTGCAGTGAAAACGTCAGAGCAAATTACATTTGTTGCAGATTTTCAGTATGGACTGAACAAGTCTTTGGCTGAAATATTTGACAAGTCTTACCATAGCTACTGTTTGCGCCATCTAGCTGAAAAGCTTAACAACGATTTAAAGGGCCAATTTTCTCATGAGGCTAGGCGATTTATGATTAACGATTTCTATGCTGCTGCTTTTGCATCTAAACTTGAGGATTTCCAGCGCTGTGCTGAAAGTATAAAAGGAATTTCACCTGATGCTTACAATTGGATCATACAAAGTGAACCAGAGCACTGGGCAAATGCATTCTTCGGAGGAGCAAGGTATAACCATATCACATCGAATTTTGGACAGAAGTTCTACTGTTCCATATCTGAAGCACACGAATTGCCTATAACACAGATGATTGACGTTTTACGGGGCAAAATGATGGAAACAATATATAGACGCAGGGTTGAATCAGACCAATGGATGACAAAATTAACACCAGCCAATGAGGAAAAGTTACAAAAAGAAATATCAATTGCGCGGTCATTTCAGGTTTCGCTATCCCGTGGGAGCACATTTGAAGTTCGGGGGGAATCTGTTGACATTGTTGATATTGATCATTGGGATTGTAGCTGTAAGGGATGGCAGCTTACTGGTTTGCCTTGTTGCCATGCTATTGCTGTCATTGAATGCATTGGTAGGAGCCCATATGATTATTGCCCCAGATATTTCACAGTCGAGAGTTACCGCCTAACATACGCGGAATCAATCCATCCTGTCCCAAATGTGGACAGACTAATCCTGGATGAATCGACTCCGGCACTAGTCACAGTAACCCCTCCACCTACTAGAAGACCACCAGGACGTCCAAAGCTAAAGCAGAATGAATCATTAGAAGTAGTCAAGCGTCAACTTCAATGTAGCAAGTGTAAAGGTCTTGGCCACAATAAGAAGACGTGCAAAGATTCATAGCTTCATTCTAGGAATTCCAAATAGGTAACTACTCTTTAACTTTGTTTCCTTGATTGTTAATATCTACTTGTTGCATTTGAAATTTTCTTTTCTGAGTTCATATTCTTCATCTTGGTGCTTCTTCCTGCCCATGGAGATTTTTTTGTTAGTGAAATAACCAAGTTCTCATTGAGATCAAATGGAAGAATAAAAGAACATGAAAAACTAACCCCAAAAGGTGTCCAAATAACCTTAAAAAGGACTCTAATCAAGCAAAATATTACCCAAAGGACAACTGGAAAAAACTTTACAAACAGAGGGTCAATGAGAAGTGTGAAATCTAACAAGAGACCACACCTCACGCCAGGGTCTCTCAAGCCCTCTAAAAGTTCTATCGATTCTTTCCACTCAGAAAAATTTCAAAGATAGAAAAACACAAGAAATTAGGTAGCACTTTCTATGAATTATTGTTTTGGGGATCGTTTTAGTAGCAATGCTATGTAGAAAAGTAAATGGTAATACCTTCTCAATCTTTCGTGGTATTTGGATGGCTACTTCAAAACTTTATAGACAAGTTTGATGAGGAAGTTGCATTTTGTGTGTAGTGACAATGATCGTTTTCTTTTTAATTTTTGGATAGGAAACAATTTAAAGATGATACCCATCCAAAAGGATTACAAAAGACTTCTCCCAAAGATAATTTAGGCTGTAGTTGCCAAAAGAAACCTTATTTTTACACCAATAAAGAACATGAAATATGAAAGAGTGATGCTCTTTTTAAATGTGAGGTTGCCTTCATTGGAAACTGAAGTGAGGGTTGAAAAGACATATTTGGTGTTACATAAATAGCAATTCAAATCCACCCCTTAGGGGTTCAGTGTCCTCGCTGGCACTCTTTCCCTTCTTCAATCGATGTGGGATCCCCCAATCTTCCCCTTTGGGGCCTAGCGTCCTTGCTGGCACACTACCTCGTGTCCACCCCCTTCAGGCTCAGCCTCCTCGCTGGCACATTGCCCGGTATCTAGCTCTGATACCATTTGTAACAGCCCAAGCCATCACTAGCCAGAAATTGTCCTCTCTGGACTTTTCTTTTCGAGCTTTCCTTCAAAGTTTTTAAAACACGTCCACTAGGGACAGGTTTCCACACCCTTATAAAGAATGTTTCGTTCTCCTCCCCAACCGATGTGAGATCTCACAGTTCTTCCTTGATCTTTGCATCCTATGTCTTGTTTGTATTGATCTCTTTCCTTGTCTCCTATTTGCTTGTATCTTGTTTCACCAACATGCTAAGGCTCCCCACCCATGACACTCGAACCTCGTCTTTTCCCAAGGCATTTTCAAATAATTTAAAAATTATGCACCTCGTCAATCTAGTCTAGAAAAGTCTCCACATCCATCCAGTAGTTAGAAAAATTCTTATAATGGGAGAACCAAGAAGATTATTGACGTTTAATCGACTACCATAGGGGCTCTCACTAGATCTTTCTTTCCCTGGAAAACTTCTTAAATTCCTTTCGTTACATGGCTTCCAAAAGAATAGCTGCGACAACATTGAATTAGAAAATTTTGGCCAAACCGCAAAATTTGGTACCATAGTAAAGTTGAAAAAAGACCATAAGAGATGTGTTTGGAGCCAACCAAAAGAGATTAAGATCAAGAGCATGTTTGAGAGTGATTTTAGTTAAAATCATTTTTGTCATGTTCATAATCATTTTGAAACATGCATTTGTTCGTTCAAAATCCATTTAATGTTCGATTTTATAATTTTAAACGTGGTCTTCACGCCATCAAAATTGATTTTGAATGTTTAAAACCCTTTTCAGAGTGATTTTAAACCTGTCACTTCTAACCCCTTCCAAAATCACTTCCGTTATGTCGTAAATATTCTCTACATACTACCTTTTATGGTATTAGGGAAAGTTGTTTCTGAATTGTGTACGATACCATTAAAGTCAATTGATCATTTCTGTTTAATGCCATAAGCGACGTTTATGACGAACAATGAAAATTTTGGTTTAGAATACTTCACTTTGCACTTTGTTTTAGCACTTTCTATAAGTTTTGTTTGGTTGGATGGGTAATTTTCTTGGCTGACAGCATACTCTCACGGTTATTTATGTGCCAAGTTAAATTTTGTAACTTTTAAGCTTGTACCTCAGGTAAAACTTGAAGGAGCAGCAACATAGCTTTCCCAAGTAAAGAGATTTGGTTGGCTATAAGTTAACGATGGGGAATCACATGGAAAATTGGAGGTTAGCCTCAAAGAAAACTGATTGAAGAAGAAGATCACCTGAACTGGGCGTGGAACTTACAAGAAAGCCGATCAGGGAGTGCTTGGGAACCGGAGAACTCCAAGGAGGGAAGAAAAGCTGAGAAGGCAGGTAACACTCTGACCTCAAACCCGACCAAAAGTGTATTTTGCCCTTAAGAATTAGAATAAAGGAGAGTTAGAACATAATCAAGGGGAATAAAATTATTTTTTACTGTGGGAGTGTTTACTTAAAGTTTTGTTTGGAAGATCCTATTTTATTCCTTTATTAATTTAACTCTTAACTATTATGTTAGCTTACCTCAACTCGAGAGTATAGAATAACCCGTACATTTGAGTAAATAGGTGGTCTTTGTTCTTTAGGGAAAGTTATTCTTGAAATGCTACTCGTCTCGGTAGTTCACTGGTAGTTTTTCTTTGTTCTGTAGGGAAAGCTATTCTTGAAATGCTACTCGTCTCAATAGTTTACTAGTAGTTCTTCTTTGTTCTTTGGAGAAAACTATTCTTGAAATGCTACTCGTCTCGTCTCAACAGTTCACTGGTAGTTCTTCTTTGTTCTTTGTTCTTTGTTCTTTAGGGAAAGCTATTCTTGAAATGCTACTCGTCTCGATAGTTCACTAGTAGTTCTTCTCTGTTTTTTTAGGGAAAGCTACTCTTGAAATGCTACTCATCTCGATAGTTCACTAGTAGTTCTACCTTTCCTTTAAGGTAGAGTGCTCCAATGTAGTAGAACATAAAGAGGCCTTGAAGACACTTTTCTCGATCGAGATTTTGGTATGTACTAGAATATGGTTAGCTCGTATAGGTTAAAGATTCAAATACCTGACTCCCTTACGTCGAATTAAAAAAAAAAAAAAAAAAAAAAAAAAAAAAAAAAAAAAAA